GAAAGGCATCATTCAATATCAATGGCAAAACAATTCATTCAGTATTAAATTTACCTGTTGGTCCAAGAGGTAACAATGATCTTAAAGGACAGTCTCTTTCAAGGTTGCAAGACCGGTTACATGATGTTAAATATATCTTAATCGATGAGTATTCTATGCTCGGCCAGACAGTGCTTGGCTGGATTGACAAACGATGCAGGCAAGCAACTGGACTACATGATGAAATTTTGGGGGGAAAATCGATTATTTTGGTAGGCGATCCAGCACAGTTACCACCTGTTGCAGACAAACCTTTATATCATACAAAGCCCACAAGACCTATTGGCGAACAAGGCAACATTGCATATTTAATGTTTGATAAAGTAGTAAGATTATCTGCCAATCAGAGGGTACAGGGCTCCAGTGCTATGCACCTTGCCTTTAAAAATTTATTGATGCGTCTTTGCACTGGTGATTCTACTGAACAAGACTGACAACTTCTTTTATCTCGTCAACCATCACTGGTTGCAAATCTAAATGAATTTGACGATGCTATAAAATTATTTTATGGTAACGATGATGTTGCTACGTACAATCACCAAGAACCGCTGAACCAGTAGCTTGCATTCAAGCTCGCCATTCATCTTCCACTGCTAAATCATTACCTTCTGACGAAATGTCTGGATTAGTACCTATCTTATTTCTTGCCAAACATGCTTCCGTAATGCTTACAATGAATTTATGGCCAGAAGTTGGACTGTGTAATGGAGCTACTGGAAAAGTTGTAGACATCATATTTGCCGAAAATCACTCACCACCAGATTTACCAATAGCAGTTATGGTTAAATTTGACTATTATACAGGGCCATCATTTACTGAGTTACTATTAAAATGTGTGCCAGTGTGCCCTATGACAGTAACATCTCATTCACTTGATACTTTTCATGAAAGACAGCAATTACCTTTAAGGCTTGCCTGGGCTACAACAATACACAACAGCCAGGGACTTACTCTAGAAAAAGCTTGGATAGATATTGGTCCACGAGAACGAACAGCAGGCATGACATATGTTGCAATCAGTAGGGTGAAAACACTAGATTCTTGTGTTATTGAGCCAATGTCATTTGAACGTTTGAAGACTATAAAGAATGCATCAAACTTCCAGTTCAGGCTACAAGAAGAAGAGCACCTTAAATTCCATTCACTAAACTCAACTACAAACCAATGTATTAACTTCATCATCCAATTCATAATATTTAATATACATCTACCTATACTATTAAAGAACAACATCAACATACAGTAAGTCACACTGCCTTGTTCAAAGTAATCCTAAAACTGAGTATATTGGCAAGATTATTGGCAAGTAACTGACTGAAATTTCACTTCCTTTTCTCATGATACACTAAACAAACAACTTTTTGCGTGTAAATAAATTGTAAAATATAAAAAGTTTATTATAACCATTATTAGACAACGACAACTTTCTGAGAAGCAAAGTATATAAATTACTCAAACCAAGCAATCATTAGTACAACTGGTGCATAACATTTGGAATTTTGATTTTTTTTTCAGTGCTTTTACATTCACAGATCCATGGCATCAAAGCGAAAAGGTTTGTACTCTTATTGTTATTTTCCCACTTCACAAGAATATGTAAACTAAATTTTCCATTTATAATCTTCCAATTTCATTTACTTCAGTTCTGATTTTTTGTGTGTTTCTTTTTACAGATACTCCACCTGGTTTTGTGCACTCAGTGTCACCAATGAAAAAAAGGAAAATCTGGTACAGATTACTATACATTTAGCTTCCAAACATCTCCAGATAAGTTTGATAAAGTCATTGGCTTTGACCAGAAAACCCACCAGCACTTTATTCACTTTGAGGAAACAAAGTCACCTTCTAAAATATTGAGTGCCAGGGAAGATGATGGCCAAATCTTCATAAACCAGTACACCTCACTCATCATAGCTAATTCAAGTGATGTCAATTTTGATCCATGCAAAGAGCATTCTCCTGCAGGCACTTCATCATCAGCCAACCTCCCTGACTCATCTGCCACAGATATTACATTACAACAGCTTGACAAACTAACACGAAACCAAAGAGTGAACGTAAAGGCAACCTTAACAATGGGTTCTTTGGAGCCAAAAGAACTTGTCAAAAGAAATGGTTCAAAAGGGAGGGTAAAAGAAGACTGTGTTCTCGAAGACAAAACAGGCAGTACCATCATCCATCTTTGGGATGACACTATTACAGCGTTGACCACTGGACAAAGCTATGACATAAAGAATCTCAGTGTCAAAAACTTCAATGGGAAGACGCACCTTGGAACAACAACAGAAACCACGTTCACTCCGATTGATACCCTACTGAAAGACATAAAAGGAAAAGAGTTGTTAACCAACATTAAAAAGACAATAACAGTAGAGGAATTTAAATTCACAGATAAAGTAAACACCTTCATGGTTTGTCAGATTCCAAACTGCAAAAAGAAAATGCCATATGCTGTTGACTGCAAAGTCATTACTTGTGCTAGTTGTGGCACCTGTCAAAAGGTCAAAGCATGTGAAAAGGGCATGTCTGCACATTTATGTGCACAAATCGATGGTAAAGATGTCTGGCTGACAGCCTTTACGGACGTCATGAAAATGTTGATCAACAAAGTAGATCTGTCATGCAACAACACAACAGATGAACTCAAAGAAGGACTACTTAACCTGGAAAATGTGAAATTACTAATAGATTCTACATCAAACTTTATACTGGATGTTTTAGAATACACCCGTCCACATTACTTGAAACTTTTGTTACAACAAAACTAATGTTTATGTTGGACTCTAAAGAGCCCATTGACATTTGCAGTTCTCGAAACTTATTACAGTAATACATTTGTCAATAATCCATTAGAACCCATTTACATTCCTTGAAACTTTCATTTCAATGAAACTTATGTTCAATGTTGGACATTTTACAACCCACTGGCATTTGAAGTTTTACAAACCTTTATTAAGGGAAACTTATGGTTATAATCGATTAAGACCCGTTGACGTTGCAGTTATTCAAACTTTTTGACACTAAAATGTATGTTCAACTTTTTGGAAACAATTGACATTTGCAGTTCTCAAAACTTTTATTACAATAACATTTATGTTACTACTGGATTAGAACCCGTTCATGTTTGCAGTTCTTAAAACCTTTATTACAGTAAATCTCATGTTGATGTTTCTACTTTTCAATAAATATTGTGTTCTACCAAAAAATTATGTCACTTATTCAACAGCAACTCAAATGCGTCTCAACAACATGTAGACGACTTCAGGCAAAATACAGACTTGTACCCAGTCATCACTTTTGCACTCTGCAAGTCCGCGTGCCCATATCTCTTGGCGCGCTCCCTATAAGCAAATGGTGAGAAGAGACTGGGTACAAGTCTGCCCAAAATATCTATAAAGGTAGACGTGTATTTTGCACTTTCAAAATACACATGGTCACATTACTAATTCTCTGCCCGTTCCCAACATCTTGAACAAAAGCTATTCAATTGCATTCAGGCCCGCACTTTCTAACCTGTGGTTACTACTAGTTTATATTGCACTATGCCACTGTTTCCTTCATCATTTTATAATCTCTTTAACCAGCCAGGATCTCTTACAACATTTGCAAGTGTCTTTGTTGTCCTTTATTTTGTTTTCTCATTGGTCAATTTCTTTAAGTATGATTGTAGAGCCTTGATATTTGTTATTTTATTAAGCAACCACTTTAAATGTTCATTTTGCTCCAATTTTTACACTTGCTTCAATACTTTAGTATATTTCATTTATCAAAGAATAATTAGGTGTGTGTGATGAACAAGTATGAGTGATTTTGGCCCCAATATTTCATTGAAATGTTGCAAATTTGTTTGAGAAAAGCAAATTTAGAATCCATTGGAGACAAATGGAAGGCAACTGTTTAGAATTTTTTGAAGCCCCACAAGGTGTGTTAAGACAGAGGCAGTGTACTGAAAAAGGAAAGACCTTCATTTCCCACATTTGATGGAAAAATTGTTAGGCTATCGGAAGGAGAATTACTTGGCAGATTAACCAGATGGAATCTTTGATATGCATCAAAGAAAATGTGGATGTCATTGAAAACAAGCTCAACGAAGTTTGTAGCACCATGGAGAAGCTTTAAAGATGTGTTGCTGTACTGTTGGACAATCTTGAAAGTGAAATTGATCAAAGTGTAGCTAGTGACTGGTATACCAAATAGAGTGACAAAATCAATGATTTCACCAAGAAAATGGTACAATGGACTGAACATGCAAATGAAGCTCCAGAGAATGTGAGAGAGGATTCAAGCCATCAACCTAAACTTTCCCCAGAGGTCTTTCATTCTCAGCCATCTTCAATTTCTGGGTCTTCTTTCATGCAGTTTTAAGTACATACACCACTTAAAGAATACCTTCAAAAACTGCCACGGGTGTCAGCTCTAATCCAGATTATTATGACCAACCTAGAGTACCTCCTTAGCCAATGCAGCAACATCTCAGCTTGAATCCATTTGCCTCTGAGTTTTCCAGCTCTGATGCGTGGCCAAATACAATGCCAATGGAGTTTTATGATGCACTTCACTAGCAAAATAGGCTAATAGAGCTACTAGTGGAACAATAGCACCAGAGTCTGCTCCCCACGCTGACACTAAGTGAGTTTACTAGTGATCCCCTGGAATTTCAACCTTCATGCAGTGCTACATTGTAGGAACCACAAATATAAGCAAAATTATGTCCCAGTCGACTTTTTTTATCTCTTCTTCCCAAATGAAGCTTTTGAACTGATTTCAAGGGAGACAAACAGGTATGCACAACAGTATTTAGATACGCCTGCTGATTTTGAGCCTTGTTCTCGTTTTCGAGCCTGGAAAGACACATCTCCTAATGAAATAAAAGCCTTTTTCGCTTTGCAAATTGCCAGAAACCAGCCCATGCTGATTATTGGAGTGGATTTTGGTTGACAGCCCTGCCATTTTCATCTGTGATGTCACGCAACAGGTTTGAACTGTTACAAGCATTTCTGCATTTTAACAATATTGAAAACCAAATTGCCAGGGGTGAAGAAGGTTACAATCCTTTATTCAAGATTCAACCTTTGTTGGACATAGTCAACCCAACTTATGAAAAGTGGTATCAGCCAGCACGTGACCTTTCCTTGGATGAAAGTATGGTCAAATTCAAGGGGAGACTATTTTTTCAGCAGTACCTTCCAGCCAAGCCCACAAGGTGGGGGATCAAGCAGTTTGTGCTTGCTGAGGCAAAAACTGGCTATTGCCTGAGGTCCATTGTCTACACTGGCAAAGCATCATTTCCTCGATATAAAGGGGTCAGCCTTTCGGAACAGGTTGTTTTGTCATTAGTGCAAGGATACGAGGACAAGGGCCACATTGTTTACATGGACAATTATTATTCTGCTCCATCTCTATTCAAGAAATTGGAGCAAGAGAACATTGGTGCCTGTGGAACTGTGAAAGTAAATCGGAAACAAATGCCAAAAGAGCTCTTGCCATCAAGATTGTCTCTAAAAAAGGGAGAACCGCCTGTTTTTATGCGTTCAGATAATCTTTTTGCCTGTGCATGGCAAGACACAAAACGTGTTACCTTTTTGAGTACTGTTGAGAATAATTTGACAGTAGACAAGGCTGTTAGAAGTAAGAATGGGGAAGGGGTTATAGGGAAGTTGAAAAGCCAGTAATCGCTGATCGATACAATTCAAACATGGGTGGGGTCGACACCCTTGACCAAATGCTAGGCACATACCAATTTCCTCACAAGTGTGTCAAATGGTATCATACCCTTTCCATAGGGCCAGGGAAATTGCCCTCGTAAATGGGTTTATTCTTTACAAGAAGGCAAACTCCACTAAAAGAGTTAACCCTAAAAAGTTTAGAGAGCAAGTAATAACTGGGCTTTTGAGGGACTGGAACCCGCCTCAGCCTCAAAATGGGAGGCCCTCAGATACCCCAGACCCTCTAAGACTTACTGAACGCCATTTCCTAGGAAAAAATGAGAACCCCAAGCAAAAACTTGATTGTCGGGTTTGCTCTGACAGGAAAAATAAGAAAAGGGTGCAAACTTCTTTTTATTGCAAGCAGTGTGATATAGCATTATGCATTGTTCCTTGTTTTGCACGTTATCACACTTTGCGTCAGTATAACTTGTAAACATTACACTATGGTACTGCTCAGTATCACTTGTACACAACACACTGTGTGATATGACACATAAACCCTCATGTTTGTTATGATGGAGAATATATTAAGACATATTTGTTTCTTTGTCTTTATAAAATTCACTGTCATTATTTGTTATTGGTGCAACAGCAAACTTGTTGCTAAAAATCACTTTTTAGGAAGAATATTAGCCTTTATGCTTGAATGTAACTTTGTAAAGTTATGATGAAGAGATTGTTCAGCTGAGTTAAGTCCTTTCAGTGTTTTAGGTAAAAAAATACAAAGAGAAATGAAAGGGAAATTTAATGTAAAATAGTTATTTTTAAGAAACCCATAATGCCTTGCAATGAAAGTCAGGTCACATGACCCGATCACCCCCCCTGACAACGTAGAAAAAAATATTTGTTTATTCCAGATACTATCCTGAAAATTTCATTTTAATATCTTAAAAACTGACTGAGATATAAGCCATTAAAGATTGAGAGTGATTTTTTGAGGTTACTAGTAAAAAAAACCTGGCAGTCAGAAAACAGTCTTTGTCAGAACTGTGGCAGTGAAAGGGTTAAAGCAGCACCTAGAAGGAGAACTGATTTTAAGCTTGTGAAAGGATGTCTTCAAGTGGATCAAGACAGTGGTTATCTAGAAGCAAAGATGCTCCTTAGAGAAAAAGTATGGAGACCTTACAGAACATCATATGCCTACCTGAAGAAGATCAATGAGTGGCCCATTACATGGACTGGCAACAAAAAGGCTCTAGACAAATTTTCTGTATTTCTTACCATAACAATGCTAACCTTCCAATAAATCTTCAGTCATCTACATAATTTGCAGAGCATGGTGGCAAGCAAGGACAGGTAGTGTAGTGAAGCCACTAGAATAAGGATGTCTAAAGGAGAGATTCCCGTCATTGCAGACTTCATAAAATTTGTGAATGCTGAGACAAGCACTGCAAGTGAGCCAGTCTCCTCAGGAGAAGCCCTCTTTCTAGAGATAGCTCAATGGATCAACCTTATCATTTCCACAAAGGTTTGGCAAAAGCAAACCTCTGAGGGCTGTTCTCACATTCTGCATTGCTTCTCTAGCCATGAAATGCAAGTACCTGCTGACCAAAGGATAAGCTCCGATAACTCCACCAGTCTTTGCAACCTCTGTGGCAAGATGATTGCCACTTTTCCTAACTTAAAGTTTGCTTATAGTAGGTCTCTGTGTGCCATGAAACCATGACGAGTTTCCATTCCCGCTGCCAGGTGGTCTCTACTCACAATGGTACATACAGGGTTCGTACGGGTCCTGGAAATCCTGGAAAGTCCTGGAATTTTATTATCGCATTTTCCAGGACTGGAAAGTCCTGGAAAAGTAATGCTGGTCCTGGAAAGTCCTGGAAATCTGTTAAACTGAACAAAGTAATAAAGTTTTCTCTAAAACAAATGAGCAAAGTTTTTTTAGTATTTTTAAACGTATTCCTTTCTGGTTTTGACCGCATGACCGCATCTATATTTTTTCATGTTTCCCGAAACTGACACGAGTGTAACTCTGGATCGAGGGCTCATGTATCATCATAAGCTCATGCGCAGTAGTAACCTTGATGCATGCATGATTTTGTAAACGGGTACTCAGTGAATGGGCGTCTTGAGTTTTAAATGTTTTGTTCCGAAATATGCCTGGGAAATGCTTGTTTAGTGACCGATGGTTGGAAAACTCTTCCTATAAATTGTGGCTGGAACGTGACGCGGACAAGTTTAAAGCAAAATGTAGAGTTTGTATGAAAGCGTTTGATGTATCAAATATGGGAGAATCGGCATTGAAAAGCCACGAAAAGGGAAAGAAGCATATTCATCTTATCGAAAAGCAACAAAGAAATACAACAGGTGACATAAGAAACCTTTTCTCGAACAGCTCTTTCGCTGCCCCTCGAACAGCCACTGAAAGTAACAACTCTACTTTGACTGTATCAAGTAGTGCCGCTAGTACAACAGCAGGTATGTCCGGGTTCGTGACGAGGAATGATACTTTAACTGCTGAAATTTGGTGGGCGCTAAAGGTGAATAGCAGCCATTATTCGTATAATTCCTGTACAGATATAAACTTCTTAGTGCAGCAAATGTTTCCAGACAGTGACATTGCAAAGAAATTTACCTGTGGGGAGAAAAAGGCCTCCTATCTTTCTTGCTTTGGTATTGCACCATGTTTCAAGAGTCTTCTAAAGGAAAAAGTCAAATCTTCAAAGGGATATGTGCTTTTGTTTGATGAAAGTTTGAATCACGAACTGCAAAAGAAGCAGATGGATTTCCATGTTCGCATCTGGAATCATGACAAAGTTGAAACTCGCTATTATGATTCACAATTTCTTGGGCATTCTAGTGCAGAGGATATGCTTCAAAAGTTTCATTCTTGCAAAGAGGACTTGAGCTGTAGAAATCTGATTCAACTCTCTATGGATGGGCCCAAGGTTAACTGGAAATTTTATGAAATGGTAGAGCAAGAATTGAAGAGTGATTTCAGTTGCACTCTCCTTAACACAGGCAGTTGTGGTATACATGTTGTGCATGGAGCTTTTAAGGATGGTTGTGATGCAGCTGGATGGACGGTGCAGAAAACTCTCTCCAGTCTTTACTGGCTGTTTAAAGACAGTCCGGCTCGAAGAGAAGACTACATTAGAATAACTGGTAGCAGTGTATTCCCCCTAAAATTCTGCCAGCACCGGTGGTTAGAGAATGTGTCAGTTGCCGAGCGAGCACTGGAAGTGTGGCCTCACATTGTCAAATACATTAATGCTGTTAAGGCAAAGAAAGTTACTGATCCCAAGTCCAAATCTTACGAGACCATTAGCAGTAGTTGCTGTGATCCCTTGATGCCAGCAAAGATTGCCTTCTTCTCATCAGTGGCAAAACAGATCAATCCTTTTCTCACAGCATTTCAGACTGATAAACCTATGCTGCCATTCATGAGTATCAGTTTGTACACTTTGTTGAAATCATTGTTGAATAGGTTTATCAAGGGTGAACTTGTTACCGAGGCAACATCTCCTCTGAAGATCCTGAGGTTGAAGCCCACTGATAAAGAACAGCAGTTAGACTACCAGAAAGTTGATGTTGGCTTTGTGGCACAACACATGCTGAAAGAAAAATCTGGGAAATTGAGTGAAAGGCAAGTTCTTCAATTCAGAATGGAATGTAAAGATTTTCTTGCAAAAACAGCCTCTAAACTGCTTGACAAAACACCAATAAATTATCGACTAGTAAGAAGTATGTCTTGTCTGGATCCAAGGCTAATGGCATCAGAGAAAGAAGGATGTGTCAAAAAAATGAAAAGAGTTCTTGAAATTCTTGTGGAAGCCCACAGATTGAAGGCTGATGAGTGTGATGAGGTGATATATCAGTTTGGACAGTTTTTGGATGAATGTGCAGGTAATCCTGACTTTGAAGATTTTGACCCTAGTGAATCCTCTTTAAGAGTCGACACACTGTTATATGAACACATGGCTGGTAATAAGCAACTGGCAAAAGCATGGGGGGTAGTTGAATTATTGCTGCTAATGTCTCATGGTCAAGCCACAGTTGAAAGAGGATTTTCTGTAAACAAAGAAGTGGCAGTTGAGAACCTGTCGGAAAGATCGTTCATTGCACAGAGGATTATTCATGATCATATTGAATCAGTTGGAGGCCTTGCCAATGTAAAAATCTCAAAGCAACTACTTATGGCATCTGCTGGAGCGCGACAGAAATATATTTCCTATCTAGAAGAGCAGAAGAGAATTAAAGTGTCCCAGGAAAACACGCTTAAAAGAAAGGCAGCAATGGATGGGATTGATGTGCTGAAGAAGAAAAAACGGCAAATTGAAACTGATATAGAGGCTCTTTTAAAGACTGCAGATGAATTTGCAGATAGGGCTGAAGATTCAAGAAACCTTACTTGGGTTGCCAAATCAAACAGTTTGCGAAGATCTGCCAAGGAAAAAAGGGCAGTCTTAAAGGACATTGAAGAGCAGTTGGAAGGAAAGCTCCAAGAGCTGAAAAATAATTAACCCCACTTTGAATCCCAAGATGTGAATATTAATTCTACTTAGTATCAGTCACGGATTTCTGATGTTACTTCTGAGATATTAAGAGTTCAATGAAAGAAGTTGATATTCTCTGTTTTCTTTGTTCTCATTTGTATGTCTGACAATGTGTTGAAATTGAAAGTAGAAATGAATCTTTTATACTTATGAGAGTGAAAGAGTTAAGGTGAATTTTGGAGTCCTGGAAAAATAATCTGAAGCCTGGAAAAGTCCTGGAAAAGTCCTGGAAAATTGTTTCTGAAAAAGGGTACGAACCCTGTACATAAACATCTCACTCCAACTGGATTAACATTCCATCGGTAAGGAATAAGCTTCAAGAAGACTTGGAAAATATTCAGCCATGGTCAAATATGGAAAAAATGTGTATTAATGTAAAAAAAAACAAAATTAATGCTTATACACGGAAAGAGACTGAGAAAGCATACAGAAAATGACAGCAATCATTTGACAATTAACCTGAAA